GTTTGACAACATCAGATTCGATTAAGTCTGTGCTCTCTAACGCATTAATCATATTTGAATGGGAAAGGTTGCATAATGCAGCCATATCTCCAGCGCCTGGCCAGCATTGTGCAAAGGTACAATGATGCGAACAAACAAAACGCCACACACATATAGCTGCTCTCTCCACATAATATGAAACAACAGTTTACTGGCAGGACAACAATATTCACAATGTAATTGTGGCAACATTATCTCACCCTTGCACCTTCCAGCTAGAAGTCATGATCCCCCAGCACTGAATGCTCCATAATTGCACCATTAATCTCAATTTGCAGTTTGTTCTTAATGCAGCACAAGCCAATTGACACTTTAAAAACGGTGGGCGCCCACTATACTACAACAAAAAGAAAATTTATTTCCTAATAATAATGTAAGTTTAATATCCCTGCATGCTGCGACCGATTCATGTTCAGATTTAATAATGGGAATCGGGTAATCCGATTAGAGAGAAATAATTTGTTTACAATCCCTAATTTACAGTAGCGAATTCCATTATCGCGTCGCAGTCATTGGTTTTAAGCGATAGTAAGATGACCCTGGGGAACAAAAGGGAAACTATTATATTCCCCACAATTAGATCTGAGCTCAGAAGGAAACCCAAAAGCAAATCTGGAATGCAGGAAATTACATACAGACACATTGAATGCAATTACATGTGGCCAACTTGATATTACCACGGATGTTTTGCAATGCCGCAGAATATGAAATCGGAGGTTTCAGGTGCATGAGCGCTTTATAACCGAGCAAAATCGTTCTTGGGACGTTTGTCTTGTTCGAAACGCACTGCACCCTCTCTCCATTTGCTGAAACACGGAAATGGCAGTGTATCTAAGCACTTTTTATACCTTAGAGACGAGGGCAAATTAGTGTAGAACATTACCACTAGTTAATTATGAATGACCGATTAATCAACCTAATCTAATATTCTACATTATGTTGATGTTATTAAAGCGCATCACGGAAATGACAGAGTGGCTTCATTTACTTTCTTTGGCCAAACGTGCTCGGTGCGCATTTTGTGTGATCTATTCGTTACATCTCTGGATCAGGACAGTTGTGGAAAATGTCTCACCTGGACACGAGCCTCTGTTAGGTTGATTTTCATAGCCAGCTCTTCTCTCGTAAACACGTCTGGATAGTGGGTCTGTGCAAAAACCGCCTCCAAAGCCTCCAACTGTAAAACATATTTGACATATTCATTTCTTGAATTTATGCATCATAATTCAGAAAGAAATATCTTGTATTCCTTGCGTTTGCTGAGAATTAATAATTATATATATAGTGCACTGTAAAACTGTAACATTGTTTAACTGCTGCCTTAAGTGGTAGAAAAGTCATTACACTTTTTCGACTACATTTCAATTACTGATTTAAAAATGCGTTACAAATAACAGGAATTGTTGGGACACTTTGAATGGATGTTGAAACAAATATGTTCAAATGAAAACAGGCCTAAGCTCTTCGGCCTTTCCTGATGTCTTACATTTTGTCGTGTGAATGTTTAACCTAAATAAGCAAATGATTGGTTTTTGCTTTACACATAAAACAACAAGTTTACTTCTAAAAGGCGATATCTTCGCCATATAAATGTATGTTTATGTGCATCTACACACAGCATGCCTAGTCCAAAACAAATTTGAATAGAAACACAGGACGTTTATAAAACAACATTACAAAGTAAATAAGTTTGAGAACAGTGGTTCTATTTTGTATCCGCCGGAAATCTTGCTCCTCACTGACTTGATACCTGTTGTAAAGTGAAGGTCGTCCTGTTTCTGCGTTGTTTTCTGCGCAGAAAACCGTCATCAAAGTCTCCAGAGGCGTGATTCCCAAACCCATTTGTGTTCACTATTTAAAACAGTAACGCGACACTTTTAAAATATAACATTTATATAGGATAAAAACATACATTTTTGCCTCTCACAAAAATGCCTCTCACTTAATCGTGATGCACTAATTCACAGGGAACAGTTGATTTATTGCATTCATCTGCTAGAGACCTGAATTATCGCTTGACACAATGAGAAACCGTGACCAACAAAATGCCAGTTGAAAGGCATGACATCTAACATCTGTTCTCAGACAGACTGCAACAAAAAGTCTCAGCTGGGCGGCTGTCAAGCTCCTCGATCACGTTACCACACTCTAAAAAATGCTGGGTTAAATACAACCCAGTGCTGGGTTTGTCCCTATTTTACCCAGCACTGGGTTGTATTTAACCCAGCATTTGTTAGAGTGCATGTGGCAAAATATTAAACACCATAAAACAAACACAAACATAGGCCTAGGCTAATTATTAAGTAACTTTGATTTTCAAATATAATGCACATTATGAAGGTCAACTATGGAACTATAAACTGCCACAGAAAGCGTTTCAATATTTTTTTCAATTAATAGCTATATAATTAGCCTACAAAGTTAACATTTTAGATGAAAGCCCATTCTTACAGAAGAAATCAATCACACTTACATGTGTTGGTCCTGCAGCACTCTCCCTCTAACTGTGGAGGACAGTGAAAGTAAAACATGTTTCCCGGTGCTTTGCGAGTGGAGAGAATAGTTCACGCTGCAAAGAAAAAAATGGCCAAGCGTTAACGTAATGCTCGCCAACTATTACTGCAATCGCATGCGTCTGAAAAAGATAACTTTGAACAATGCTAATACGTTTCTGCAACCGATTTGAAGCGCATAAAGTAAAAAAGCATCTGCACCAATAGATGGTCTTTATGCAATCGCTATTCTCGTGTCTCCAGCTCAACCTCAGCAGAGCAATCGCTCTCCCACCGTCAATCACTGAGCGCTTCAGTTTATCCGCTCTCTCGCGCATAAGGAGGGAGTGACCAGATGTCTTTGTGACTGTTTACAGCATGACAACACTTGCCTTTATAATCTCCCACGTAATTGCAATTAATCAGATTTTCGTTTTCAAGTCATTTGGATAGGTTTTCCGCGGCCAACCGGCTTGCGCACGTGGTGGAAACGTCAAAATCCTCCAAGGCATTAATACTCCGAAACTTTAGCTCGATGCACGCATGCATGAATATTCCCAAATCACAAACACGGGCACAAGCACGATGCACTTTTTTTACACAGTTGCTTTTTATATTAAAAATCTAGATGACTGTTTTTGAATTTAAAATTGGCTGTCAGACCAGTAATTGCTCATTATATGGGTTAGGGGTCCACTTTATACGAGAATCCACTGGCTGCGCGCTCGCAGGTCCACATTTTGATTTTGTTCACAGCAAGGGGTCCAAGGATTTATTTCCCACTCTCGTGTAAATGATATGCAGCGGGACCCTTTCAATTACTTTTAAAACGCACGCGGGACGCCGCGCGCAGACACCGCCGCTCCTCTGCTGCTGGAAATGAGGCTCCGAGTAGCAGCTGAAATTTTGAAGTGCAGGACGGTATTGGATGAAATCACATAAACTGCAAAAAAGCAAGTGTAATGGTGCATAATTGGTTCTCTAATAGCATTACACAAGGATAATAGCCTGTTATGGCCCCCTGCACTATTAGTGCTTCCCTGGCGTAGAACGTTTATGATATTAAGAGGGGAATATAATGATATTTTAGTTATTAAATGCGTGTAATTAATTTATGCACCGCTGAAAATAAAGTTGGTGTTATGATCTCGTCAAAATGCATCGGAAACTGGGGGACGAGCTCTGTATAACTTCTTGACATTTGTAATATTATACGGAACGGAGATATATTTAAATTGATCAAACCTATAGATCAAATGATTTTTACGACCGTGAGAGTCTGACTGGGAGTGTATTACAGCAGTATATGTGCCAGATAAAATAAGTGTCATAAAGCGCTCTATTTAAAACATATCTTTAGAGTGCACGTGCGACTGAATAATTGCCGTTTTTAATTTTTAACTAACAGAATAATTGTGTGCATGAGGCCTCATGAGAAAAGAAAAGACAAAAAAGAAAAGAAAAACGTTCAGTACCCTGGTCGGCGACAGGACAGCTTGCGCACAAATATCCAACATTAAAAATAACTTTTTGATTAATAGACTACAAATTAATAAGTAAATTATTATTAGAAACGAATAGAAAACGAATAGAACGTTTTAATGGTCGAAAACTCGAATAGAGCAGTGAATAAATTCAACTCTTTGTTTTATATCGTATCAAAAAGCATTTTGCAGTTAGTTAATTTAACGATTTATTCGCTCTCATTTGAAGAGAAATGTATTTTAACAAAAGCACTAATTAAAAAAAAATGTTTTGCAATTGCAGAAGTATTTTTGAAAATATTCATTTTTAATTGCTCGTGTGCTAACTCGCATTGACAAACAATATACAACGAACACTAATTTCTTAGACACATTAACTTACAAGAAATAAAAGCCTGTCCCTGAGAGGCCATGGCATTGTGATTAATGTGCAACAACAGACAATCGTAGTTCTTTTCAAAATGAGATCCAATAAGCCCCTGTGAGGTGGTGTATCTGGCTCATCATCTAGTGATGCATTAAATTTCCTAGATCATATTAATAAAATGTACTAAGGAGTCGATCTAAAGGATGATGCTTATTGGGTAACCTTTAATGAATCCATTTAATTGTTAAAATGTGTACAGTATTCCCTCAACTCCATCACTGGCTTTACACATTGCAATTACATTAGATCTAATTTGTTCTCAGTGAACAAATAGTAAGTGAAAGGCAGAGGTAGATACTCTCAAGACATTAAATAATGTTGATTTTATAAGTTTCAAAATCACCTCCACTTACTAAAATGTCTTGGAAACAAATCGGCACCAAGCACCTTTATAGGGTAGAAACCCTATGTAAAATGTACATTTTCCATTATTGCCAAATTATTGGTAGAACAGAGTACCAATAATTGAGTGAATGATAAAATAAAAAGAAAATTACAGCAGTATTACAATAACACTGTAATATATATTATAATATAGTATAGAAAAAAGTACTGGTCTCAACAATAATTGCATGAATAACACATTTTCAAGAGATTTCCAAGTTCAAGTAATTTCCAGGAATTTTACAAAAACCAACAATAGGATGACATCACATTTTTTTCATACAATAGGAGTGTTTTACAATAATAGGGCCAATACAATTCTTTTGTACTTTTTGCAGGCAACCTGGAAAGTTCTAGGAGGTTTATTGAAATGAATTGCATTTACACATTTTGTAATCTTAAAATAACTGATGCCTCGGATCACCTGTTCCCAAGTGTGAGGTATATATTCCATTTGGAGCTTCTCAGTTAATAGTTTTTAATATGCTCTGGTCCGTCTACCTGTAGTCAGCTTTAAGCTTCCACATCCCTTCCTGTCCAGGAAGTCTATGGAACTCACAAATATTCCTCAGCAGTTCTCTGAACACTGGTGTTTGTGTGGATGTGAGTCTCGGGGTGAAGCACTCCAGGATCTCCTTGGTGCTCGCCTGGCCATCCACCTGAGCTTGGAAGGCCACAAAGTTCCTCAGGTCAACCAGAAGCTCATCGTGTTCTGTAGGGGTAGCATTCACGGCAGCAGACTCTCTCTCTCCCTCTTCCTCATCCTCTTGTCTCTGGGGTTGATTGAGATGATTCCTGGCCCTCATTCTAGCAAGGAGAGAAGATGAGGAGAGAGAACCAGACTCCTCCTGCGCTCCTTCACCACTGAAGTGAGCAGCAGATCCTGGTTTCTTTACAACTGACTTTGTAATATCTGCATCCTATATTAAAAAAAACAACAACATGAGTGCCCAACAACCATTTATTATTCTTTTGGGGGTTAAAAGGATATTGTATCCTTATAGACATACCTTGCATTTCTCTGCTGCTTTTGCCATTGTCCCAGACGACTGAGACAGAAGTGAGTTTTTCTTATGCCCAAACCTCCTAAAAGCAAAATTTAATATTTACTTAAATGTATTAAAATTTGATAATATTACAATACACATTATTTTTCATTTCAATTCAGTTTAATAAAATCAAAATAGACATACTTGACTGGAGGTGGGGTTGCTGTTGTTGACCCTCTTGAGAAAGAAAGCCTGCAGTTTTGTCTGGAGATCTTCAGAGCTCTCAGTGCATCCTTCGCAACCCTATTGGCTTCGGCTTCCACAAGTACATAATCCGGGTTCGATGCCTCCATGATGGTGTCGTGCTTCATGACGCTGTGGATCCCTGATTTTTTAAAGAGTTTGGCTAGAACATAATCGTCACTCTTTTTCTCATTTTTTTCCTGCTCCTCTTTCTCATTTTCCTCTTTCTTGTACCTCCGTTTCTTCACCAGGTGAGAAATGCGACAGCCTTCAAACTTAGCATCTTCAGAGTGCTTGCGGTTTTTATGCTTGCGCTTGTGTCTGTCTGAGGATAAAGTGTCCTTTTCTGGCGTTTCACAGTGCTTTTTCTTCTCTCTGTGCTTTTGAGGGCTGTTCGCAGAAGAATGATCTTTACTAATGCTGTTTGTCAAACGATCAGCAGTGGAATGAGGTTCAAGTCTATTGCTCTGCAACCCAGAAGCATTGGTGTTTGAGAGACCATTGGCTGAGGTAGCGTTTCTGCTTCCTGACAGAGATGTGTTATCTTGGTCGTCAACACAAAATGCAGATGAAGTAGACGATGATGGTCTGGAGGTTCCCTGAGAAGGACAGGAGGTCTTGTGTCTTTTTGGAACCTGCACATCTGACCCTGTGCCTATAAAATAAGAAAAAAAGACATCACAATTTAATAGAGCTACGTATCTACACTCTCAGGAAAAAATGTGCTAAAAAAGTAACTTCAGGGGTGAAACTGCTTTTCACTGGTGCAAAGGTCAACTATGTATCTTATTTATCCCTAAATGGTTAATTGTAGTAACTTAAGGGCACATATTACAACCTCAAGATAATAATATGCATCTTTTCGGGGTAGTCGAGGTACAAAGTTGTCTCTTTAAGGGTACTGCCCCTGACAGTGTACCAAAAAAATTTTTTTTTAAATGGTATTTACAATGATTTCAACACATGTTCTCTTTGTGAAATCAGCCAAATGAACAGAGCTGTTCTTGCAAAGAAAATATGTTCAAATTGTTAATATATCCATGAATTACCTGCAAATATTGCGCTGGTTTCTGTTCCCTGGGAGCCGTCAGGATTGCTCAGCGTGAAAAGTTCATAAATGTCATTAGACTTGAAAAACCGCCTCTGCTTAGGATCTTTTAGCACTCGGTTGGTGAGAAACTGTTTGAAGATTTGTCTATGGAAAGAAACAAGAAATACTGTACTTTTTTTTTTTTTAAATCATCGTTATGATACACCCTAGTCCCACATTTTCTGAATTATTTCCTTTATATCCTAAACACTGACACGCCACAATCTCACCCTGCTGGATGGTTTATTTGCTTAACAAATACATTGCGTCTCGGGTTAGTTCGAAATTGCAAAATTAATATGCAAACAATCTTGCTCTTCACAGTCCTTTCCAAATTCCCATCGCCTCACTACAAATAACCCAGTAGTCTACGACTAGTCTACAATTAGTTACAATTAATTGTGTTGATATCTAATTAAAAAAATAATGCATTTCAAATACTGTATATTGAGCGCCTGCAGACAGAAGTAGGACATTATGGATTATAATAGTCCTCCTCACCATTACCAGCTCCATCTCAATGCCCAATCCTAGGAAACTAACCTGTGGTAAATCTTCTCCTCAATTGTTCCAGCTGTCAGCAGCCTGTAAACCGTCACCTGCTGCTTCTGCCCAATCCTCCAGGCACGCTCACGAGCCTACAGGAAGAGGTCAACAGTTCACATCAATACCGTTCAGCGCTGCACGCTTTAAGAAGAATAGTTTGCATCAGATACAGTGAGAACATGCGTTCTAGATGCAAGATACTGCTTTGGCCGACCTGAATGTCCGTGCTGGGGTTCCAGTCTGGGTCGTAGATTACAACCCTATTGGCTCCAGTCAAATTAACTCCCAAACCTCCAACTCTTGTTGTCAGAAGGAAGATGAAGATGTCTTTGTTCTGGAAAAAAAAAACCCTGTTGATTTAAAAGCTCCTTAACCATCACAGAGAGCGTAAAACAGGCACCGTGATCTTGTTCACTTGGTTGTACTGAGTGATCAGAGGCTGTCTGGACCCAATGGTAGTAGTGCCGTCCATTTTGAGATACGAGAAGCCATTCTCCCTCACGAACACCTCCAAGATCTCCAGCATCTGTGTGTGTGTGGGAGAAATGGTTTCAGACAGAGCATTGAGAACAGGATTAGTGCTAATAGGATTAAGTGAGATTAATATTACATGTACAGAAGTACCAACTGTGTGGGTTTTAGGTTCTCTCTGAAGCCAAATCTCATTTCTATTGAACAAAGACAGCTGGGCCCTGACAGACGCCCTACAATGCAATAAGATCTCCTAATGAATTCTATTAGAGGGCAAAATGACATCATAACTTTATTGGTCCTTTAGTGGTGCTGCTGGAGATAGTGAAAGTGCAGCTTGTCCATCAATACTGTTGGTTTATTCGCACATCTTTACTTCAATGACGGCCTGATGGATCTATTTGGATGGATTTGCCTAAAATCCACCGATCATATCATTGCCATACTGCAAACATTTTTTTTCTATCCTTATTTTCGTCACTCCTTTCTTACTGACCTGCCTGGATTGGGTGAAAAGCAAAACTCGGTGTCCCTGTTTGAACCACAGGCGCAGCAGTGACTCCACCACAATCATCTTCCCAGAGCGTTTCCAGTAGCCGAAGTGCTCCTCCTCAGTCAGCTGCTCATCAGGGATGCCCCGGAGCAACCGGGGCCCTCCTGTGAACAGATCCGGGTGGTTGCAGATCTTCCTCAGAGCTATGAGGCCTGAGAAAACCTAGAACCACAGGGTGGGGAATTGAGATTAATACACCGGATGGATATGTTAATATACATTTAATGGAGGAAGAAAAACAGTTCCCTTTCCTTATGAGCAATAGCAAACACAAATCTTAATATTAATAAACCTGGTTAATTTAATGATGGTAATTGACCAGAGCAAAGTAAAGTCTCTTCCTTGAAGTAAATGCAGCAGTCTTTGCATTATATATGTGGCTTAATGGAGTTTGTGACCACATAAGAGGGGTTTGTAAACTGCTCTGCAACCCACAGCTTTTGCCTGCACAAAACACATTTGGAGCATTGTGATGAATAGTTTGTATAAAGGAGCTTCTCCTTGCTGTGACACTTCACACATAAAGAGAGTCAATAGATCACAGGGACTGTTTTTTGTTTTAATGCAACAAGCATCTTAACAGCTGTATAAGGCTGACACAACATTTATCAATGAAAAGAGATTCTGCATGCTTGTGACAAGGTAATTATCAACAAAGAAAATATATCTGTACACATATTATTAACAAAAAGTGCAGTTCAAAAGTCCACTTTTACATCTTTCTAAGTTAGTACAAGTGAGTATTTTAAAAGCTTAAAACTTGATGATCATGTTCTCCAGCATGATTTGCAAATTAGCTTTTTTTAGCGACCAACAATTAATGGTGAATCATACATACTGTGTATCTTATTCATTTTACATGATAAAAAACCCCTGAAACTTAGTTTTAGTTTCAATTAGATTTTGATGTTTGAATCCCACTAATACAATTGGAGTGTTCAAACATTTCACTACAAATTCCTGAACCTCTTTAAATGTTTCTCTCTACAGGCTTTTAAACATGTATGTGAGCATATAATGATACAGCCTGTAACTGCTCTCAAATAAATGGATAATGAATATGTGAAGAACAGAAGATCATCCATTTTAAACAATCACATTAGTGTTTCACACATGGATCCTTTACCCGCATGTCTCCATTCAGAATCTGATAAACCTCCTTGGAGTCCAGAAAATTCTGGTAAACCTGCCGCTGATCTTCTGTTAATCTGCAGAACAGGACCTGTTCGGACAATAAAACATTATAGGCTGTAATTTTTAATGTTCTGATGGAAGGCAACATATATTTAATAATTATTATAAAATATATAAAATAATTATTCAACAGTTAAAACAAGAGTAGGAAGTTTCAATGTTTGCATCTCTCTGATCTTCTGGAATTGCTTGGTGACATAAAGCTTGATGCTCTGGCTTCATTTAGAATTTTTTAAGAGAAAACAGAGTTACAAAATAACTGGCCAAACTGTGTCTGAAATGCAAGTTACTAAAAGCAATCTCTTACTCACAGCTGTGCTGTTGTCATGCAAGGAATGCACAGACAAATAGTGGAGTATAGATTTATTTGTTATATGTATTGTATGGGCACCTGTTCATTTTTGTTAGGTAACGAGAGGTTTGCTTTCACATCAGCCTTCATTCTTCTCAGCAGGTAAGGGTTAATCGTGTCACGAAGAACACAAGCACATTTATAGGCTGTCTGGACCTGAGGAATAGAAATTAAAAAATAAAACCATTAGCAACAAATCATTAACAACATTCCCCTGCAACATGAAAACGGTTGATAGTACTTAGACTCAAAAAGTCTAAAATGGCTAGTGACAAAGGCGCTTATAATGTTAATGTTTCTATTTTCAAATAAATGCTGTTTTTTTTTTACTTTAGTCATCAAAGAATTATGAAGTACCACAGTTTGCACAAAAATATTAAGCAGCACAGGTGTTTTTATCATTGAAAATAAAAATGAAAAAAGAAATGTTTCTTGAGCACCAAATCAGCATATTAGAATGATTTCTGAAGGATCATGTGACACTGAGGTCTGCAGTAATTGCTTCTGAAAAATCAGCTTTGCCATCACAGGAATAAATTACATTTTAAAATATAAAATGTAGAATAATAAAAAGGTTATTTTAAATTGTAATATTTCAAATATGGCTGTTTTTTTTTTTTACTGTATTTGTCAAATAAATGCATCTTAAATGCATGGTAAGGGTCTTTCAAGACACTTCTTTCAAAAACAAAAAAAAATGTACAGACCCCAAACTTTTAAACAGCAGTGTGTATATTTAAACTTTTTGCAAGCAAACACACCAACTAAAATCTATTTATGTTTTTGGCTAATTAACAAGCATCCACTTCAATACACTTTATGAAAGGCAAACAAATTTGTGTGTCCTGAGGCATGTCAACAGCCGCTTGTTCTCTTTCTCTCCTCCTATCAGCAAATTGAAACATTAAAGATTCATAAGAGTGCTGCTGGACTCCAGAGGGGGGCTGCACTCTTTTATCAATAATGTTCTCCTGATCCAGCGTTAGGCCAAACGCCATTTAGCTGTAATTTAAAGGGGTTTGCAGATCAAAAGAAAGCCTGCAGTTGAACCACAACACTGCAGGGCATACAACGAGCCCGGATTAGGGCCCATTTGAGAGGACAACAGAGAGAGAGAGATACAGAGAGAGAAGTGTGAATAAATAGTGATACAGCATATGCTTCAGTAATGAAGCTGGCTGCAAAAGTGCTCAAGTCTTCATGTTTCCTTCTTTCTGGACTTGTAAGCCATCATTCTTTTCTTTCTTTCTTTTTTTATTTTTGTCAACAATTTTTAAAAACCCCTTTCCCGCCACTGTTTAATTTTAAATGGTCCAGCAATATAACAAATTAATTTTTAAAAGTACAAATATTACATGTAGTTTCTCAATATATAAAGATGTAAAAGCTGCATGCATAATTATAAAAGAATTAGCAAAATGTTGTTTAAATGTCTAATGTCATAATGTTGTCGTTCTCAAAATCCTGAATGTTTTTTCTCCAGATTTAAATTCTGAAACCCAGATTTTTAAAGAAGACTTCTGAAAGAACCCATGTTTTTTAAAGAAAGAATATTTCACAAACACACATATATCCTCCTGAATACCAGACAAAAAAAGTTTTGTGAATTTATTATTTTTACGTAATTACTTTGTCTGAGAATAAGAAAAAAAATGGAAAAATAAAATTTTTGAAAAATATGTTAATATTTTAATTAGTTAATGATATATTTTATTCATATGCTATGCTATGTCCTCTAGAGGACACTAGGACTTTAAAAAGTCCTGTTTTTAAAAAAAAATAAATAAAAAGACATGAATAGACATGAAAATGCAAAAACAGTGGGATTTCTTTTAATCACCAATCAATTTTTATTTTTTATACCAAACTTTGTATAAAGATGATTCTCAACTATGCTATGAAAGATATAACAGAATGATTTGATATACCATTTTGCTTTCTGCAATATGTGTGTAAAATGGCCCTAAACAGGATTTTTCCATTATATACAATGTATCTAAACACTGTATCTAATTTGCATATTAATGTGTTTTTGGGGCAACATGTAATGAAAAAGAAGTGTAATAATTGGCAAGATTTTCATTATCATATCTTATATAATTTCTTTCCATATTCACTTGTTGTGTCTCCCAAAATGCGTAATAAACATGCTTTAAGTCCTGGTGTCCTCTAAAGTGGACATGTATGAAATTGATATCCTGTTTAATAACAGAAAGTCCTATTTTGATTTGAAACCCCATAACATTTTCCTGAGATGTTGATTTATGACAAACAATATGAAAATTAGTCCGACTTAAATGATCATTACAAAATATTATCATGAAATAAGGGTGTTTGATCACTAAATTAAAAACTCCATAGCTGGGAGTCAGATACATGTGAGTGCAAAGTGATTTTAAATAGTGCACTGGATGGATGTTAGTTCACTTTTCATATATATATTTTTCGTGCAAAGAAATGCATACTGCATAAAGTGTAAATTCCAATTGCAAGATTGTAAAAACTTCTCTCATTTCTCAAATGGATATCCACTAAAACTAAATTTATGAACGTATGAGGCTGATCAGCAGGACTGTGCAGACAGCTGGGAAAGGAGAGAGCGCCATGAGCCAGGGTTTAGCTATCTACAACCATTTAATAACATTAATAATTAGTAAAGGTTTTTATTATTGGCAGAGGAAACATCAATAGCCTTTTAAAGCAGTTCGGAAATGAAATCCATAAAGTAAGTGTGCTATTAAAAAGCTTTCCTAATAATGGCGCGTCTAGATTCCATTCACCATACAGCTATCACTATGCTGTTAGAATTTTTTTATATGCCTTTGAATTAATACAGCCACTTCCATCTCTGTGTAATATACATGTGTTCTGTGTTCATTACGCAGTTATATTTGATGTAAATTATAGGCTTATATATGAATAAGAGAATTTGAACTGCATTGATCAGTAAGCTCTGGGTGATGAGTGGTTCACCTGCACTGGAGACGCATTAGCGTATCCTCCCATGGTAATGGGCACGGAGAACTGCTCCAGGAAGATGGCCAGAGTCCCCAGCTTCCCTGGAAACACGAAGTCAAAAAGCGACCACAGCTCTTTGAGGTTGTTCTGCATGGGTGAGCCAGAGAGGATAAAACAGTGGGGTGTCCGGAACTGTGTACAGAAACAGAAATCAGTGACAATCCTTCATACTTTACGAGATCAAAATAGTTTTAGAGCTGATCTGCACAAGCAGTTAGATACTACTTGACAATAAAGCCCCTTTTATGATGGATTTGGTTTTAAAGCTCCATTAGTTTCAGTTTATTTAATACCAAATCAAAGTGTAGCAAAATTTCCAATATATATTTTTTAATATATCGATCAATAGCACTGGAGCTCATATAATTAGATACACACTAAACAAAGATCATTCCTTAAAGGTCTACTAGCTTTACTTGTGTTCTTTTGCGATACCCCCGAGACTTCAATTGACAGCTTGATTATAAAATGAAGAAATCTGTAATAAAGAAAGCAACGGTCACCTGCTTGCATGCCATAGTAACCCCAGCATTGGGGTTCCTAATTTTGTGGCCCTCATCCAGGATGACGTAATGCCAGTCGTACTTCTGGATGTAATCTTGCATAATACGGATGTATGAGTAGGAAGTGATGAGGATGCCGTGACTCGCCACTATTTCCGGGATGAGCTTCTCCTGAAAATGAGGAATAAAGGAGTGAAACCTAAAAGAAAGTAAACTCGCTCGCACAACAATGTCTTTTTTGGCTGTTAATCAAATTGAGGAAATTGCGATAGGTTGCCGGTCTCAGGCCCCTGGCGATACCGTCTTCATCAGAACGACTAGTCTATACGTCTGCTTTGATGTCTCACATGAACGGTCTCAAGTGTGTTCCAATTATAGACGTGCAAAGCAACTAACCTCTGTTCCCAGCCCCCCCTCCACACTTTTTTTTTACTTTGTAGCCAATTAATCAGGTACATCTGCTCTACAGGAGTGTTAGTGTTAGCGTGAAGGCAGTATCATTAGGTGCCAACGCTGCATAAACGTTCCTCTGTCTCTCTTCCACAAGCTCTTGAGACCAACTCTCCACCTAGAGGGCAAAGCACGGACTGCCAGACAACAACCTCCATTAATCACTGTGTCAGGCAGGATGGGGAGGGGGGCAGTGAAGACCACTCACAGTAAACGCTTCACAGCCGCCCCACAGCAGCTCCTGCTACCTTAGCTTTAATTAATTTAACATTTCCTTGGAGCCAATTCGACTCCACACACTAGGATATGTGCTGACAAGGGGAAAATCTCACGCTGGCATAAACATTACAGGCCGAAGTGACACAGTTCATCTTAATCTTGTTGTCATGTAGCTTCTTTTTATGGAAAAGTTTGGGTGTTGAGATTACATACAGAGTGGAACAAAACCGTTTACATTATGGAAGTCTCAAGAATGGATGTTCTCAGCTCCAGGAAAGCGTGACTCACCTTTTTGCTGGTGAAGGAGCCCGTGTCATGGAGGACAGCAACACGGAATGGAGGCCACCAAGTGTGGAACTCCTTCACCCACTGATGCATGACTGTAGCCGGGCACACAATGACCGTGGGCCCCAATCCAGCATACCTACATGAGAGGAGAATGTGGTCACAACACTGGGGGAACTATGAGAGTTGGATTACTAGTTTTAATATGTACTAGGTTTTTTAATATGCAACAAGTCATCTGGTGTTCATATGGGGTAAACAAAAGCTTTCAATTAAATATAATTCCAGCCCCACTTTCTTCAGTGGCAAAGCAATAAATAAATAAATAAATAAATAAATAGATGATACCGTTGAAAAGTTTGGGTCATGATGACTTTTTAAAAAGAAATCAATATGTTTATTAAGCAAGGATGCATTAAATTTATCAAACGTGACAGTAAAGACATTAATGACACACAAGATATCTTAATTCAAATAAATGCTTTTTATTTTTACTTTCAATCAAATAAAAATAAGTTTCCATAAAAATATTAAGCAGCACAACTATTTTTTATTATTTTTAATAAGAAATATTTATTGAGCACTAAATTAGTATATTACAATCATTTCTGTGACACTGAATCCATCACGCGAATAAATTACATATATGTATATATAAAAAAGTAAATAATATACATTTATGAAATAAATATACATATAAGCTATGTTGTGAATGTGAGTTTGCAGTCTACTGCAAAACAATGTTAAGAAACGGCTTTCTAGAGTTGTCCTTGAGGTTTTCATTCAAAAACACATAACCAGCATAAAATGATTCATGAACAAATGACTCTTATGAGTCAGTTTGTTTTAGTGATTCAAAAGCATCTTGTAGAGCAACCTTTCACTGAATCCATCAGACCGGTTACTGAATCACCATGTGACTTCAGTGATGTCATGCACATCGCAATGAGTTTTGTGTCAATACCATTATTGGCTTAGTTATTATCCATAGTCCTTTTTGGTAAAATCCACCTACAAATGTTTTACTTGCAATTACACACATTACCTTCAAGGTGATGAACCCCATGAGCTTACACCACAGCTGTTCTGCTCTTCCTCTCTATGTGAGTGTTCACTAAAAAAGATGAACTGACGAAATGCACTAAATGGCTTTGGGAGCATTACGGCTTGATATGATATTCCAGATTGTGAAAGCCATTGATAGCGAGCCATAATTGAGTTTGCAAACAATCAATTTGCGGATGGGCGACGCCAGACAGCTTATTGACCATCCAGGAGGGCCTCCACTTCAAGTGTGTATGGCTAGAAAAGCAAAAAAAGTAAAAAGGCACTACTTTAAACATGTTTAATTTTCCACTCTCCCTGCCCAATGAGCAGTCTCTCTTTCATGTCACGTCCTTGTTTCTCCTTCATGCCGCTAAGAGAATTAGAGGAATATCATAATTGAAACATCTTTAATAATTCACGCCAAACCTCTCTCCACCAGAAATCCAGCTGCTGAAATATTCATCGCAATTGAGACTCTTGAGTCTGGGAGGGGTGGGGGAGACGGCTGATGTCTGTGTTTATGTGTGTTTGTACACATGTATGTGTGCATGTGTGACTGGGTGGCTGATGATGACGATGAGCATGTTTTGGAAAGGACAAGACTCAAAGAAAAGACAGAATGAAGAAAGAGAGTAGGTACAATTATTATGGAAGCCCATTTCTACCTTAGATTAAATTTAGATTTTAAGATATTAAATAAAAAGGAATTTTAAGATAAAGTTTAAAATGGGAATATAAAAGACGTTTATTAATAATATATTAATATATCAATTACTTTTTGATTACTTATAAAATCCTTTTTTTATTCTGAAGCTGAAACAGATTTCCATAAATACAGTAGATATACAAACTAAAAATGTATGACCATGTGGAGTCCCTTGCCTGTAATTGGAGCCACGTGTTTTTAGCTTGCTGTAGCTCAGGCCTGCCAGGAAGGCAATTATCTGGATGGTCTTGCCCAGGCCCATCTCGTCTCCCAGAATACCTCCTGCTTGCTGGCAGTGCAGTTCCCACATCCACCTGACACCTGTCTGCTGATACCTGGACAACAAAAGCAAACGTTTTGTCGCACAAAACGCAGATCCAGCACAAATACAAACACAGTGGCTGATGAATTAATCATAGGGCCATTATCACTATTGATTCTGGATAAATGGGCCATAAGTGTTGCCCAGTTGATGTGCTGTAAAACACAACCAGAACACAACAGAAGTCTAAAGCACTTCACCCCTCCCCTCCTTCACAGCTCAGCTTTCGGGACTCATAACATTTTTTTTTTACACAGTTAATATTTCCCATTGTACATGCATGTGCAAGAAAACCATGACTTATTGATTATTTTCTTTCATTAAGAGAGTTATGTGTGATTTGTGTTGAGCCATACTTAAAGAGTTTCTTCCAGAGGAAACCAGGCATTTTAAATCCTTCATCAAACTCTGCGTCACTCTCCTCGGACTCATCCTCTCCTGCTTCTCTCTTCGCCTCTTTTTCACGAAGTCTTTGCCTTTTCCACTTCCTGCAAGAAGACAAAACCACAACAATACCATTACAGGCGTCAACTTGAGGCCCTTTGAATCAGCACATTATCACTGAACATTCACCAATACAGACCAATCAGCATTAAGCATGAGTAGTTGTTGACCGATATATATCAGCCTTGTCAATATTTGGCATTTTGTAATGATCCCATTGGCCAAATAGTTTTTTTGGCTGATCTTGAACTAGTTGATTTCAAACTAAGCTGAGCTATATCCGGTTTGCCGCTATGTTACATTCACTGTGGACCATATGAAAAATTAGAGTTACCTTAATATGATTCCCAGTGCTCACAGACTTTTACAGATTACCGAGTGTACTTCCTTTTTAGTCATGTTTTAACTATTTCTTTATTTGTGAAAAATATTTGGATCACAGAATCAAGAAACTGCTATCAAAAGTATAAATATCTTTATTTTAGTTTTATTTTTCAACAAACTACAAAATGTTTCATATTGATTCGTTTTCAAATTACTTGTTTCTAATTTCTAATACACATCATGTAAAATATATATAAATTTAATTGATTTCACAACTGACTCCGTTAAAGATGCCTCCTACAGGAAAGTTTGCAAGGTACAGGCAGGTTTTTAATTTCCTAGCCAAAGAACTACAGACAGACAAAGATGGAAACCGATGAGAGAGAGAGAGCGAGAGACCTTTCCCTTCCTCTGCCCCTCACTCCAGCAGGCCAGATTTAATTGACCCACTTCTGGCTTCAGGGAAAGCTACAGCAGTTAGTGGCAGTGTCGTCAGAAAGGCAAATTAAGATTGATACAGACAATTAGGAGTTTGAGCTCCCCAAGAAAGGTACACAGAGAGGAGTGTAGGGAAAAAAAATCCATCTTCATTTGGGGTTGGTCCTGTCACTCCGCAATGAAACTGTTCCCTTTATCTGGGGCTTCCGAGACTGCACTTGTAATTAAGTCAAGACTAAGCATTGGTTCAGTTAATTACGCTTTTCCCCCCTTTCCTCCACCGCTCAGCATTGCTTGCGCTACACTGTAGCAGAAATGAGTAGTCGCATTCGCATTTAAACCAACCAGAGCAGAGAAACTATGGAGAGAGAGTGTATGCCAACTCAATTTGCTTACTATAAATACAAATGCATAAATCTTGTTAGGTTTGCTTCCATCTATTTGCATGTTAACACTGGAATAAATACATGCATACCATAATGAGAAAATATGAATAGGTATAGAATTTGCTTAGTCAAGGAACAGCTGCCAATCTCATCAGTGGATTAGGCTATCTGTTCTAGCATACATGCTAGGCAAAGTAACTAAACATATGAATGGCCTTTGACTGTAATGATTGTGACAGTTTAGGAAATAATGGATTCAGACTAAACTTACCTAATCCTTTGCCTGTAATACTCAAAATCTCCATCATCTTTACATTTTTTGACTTTTTTGCCTTTCTGTGAGTCTTCATCCTCTGAGCTGCTAGGAATGTACTCATCGCTCTCATCCTCCTTCTTGGGCTTCCTGGTTTTGGCCTGGTCCTCCTTCTTGTATGGTTTAAGTTGGTATTCTTCATCTTCATCCACCCAGAACTCATCATCATCTCTCTCTGGTTCCTCAGGATCCATCAGCTCATCATTCGGGACGTACTCTGAACCCTCGCTGTCGGACATCTGCTCTCCATCGCCTTTCCTCCTCCTGGCTCGGGGTGGCTCCTTCTCCACCTTAGGCAAGGCTTTGGGGTGAGCCTTCAGAGCAGTCCTCTGGAGTTTACGCATATGCTTTTGGAGCTTCTTATCTTTGCTGGAGAGGGATTTGTTCTTTTGCACTTTGCCATCCGTGGTCCGTGCTGAGTTCTTCTTAGTAATCTTTTTCTTTAAGATGGGTCTCTTTCTGCTATCCGCTAACATGGCTTGGTCAGCAAGGTACTTGTCGAATCCGGAGTTCTCACTGAGCATAATCTTTCGAGGCTCTTTCTTCTCATGCTTCTGAGGGATCCGTGAACCGAAGGGGGTCATGTGACCTGTGCGGATGAGCTCTTCCCACCCGGACTCCTGAGCTGGCATAAGCATGCTGCCCAAGGTGGATGGGCCTGGTTCTAACAGAAACAAACAAAGAGTGTAGAATAGTACCACTATTAGGCCCACAAAAGCATATTAAAGCAAACACTGAAGAAAGACAATAAGGGAAATTAACTTTCCATGATGCAGGCATTCTGTAACATTTTGTTTAAATGTGTAGAAATTGTTTTTCATGAATGAATGAATAAATAAATAAGCTCTGAAAACACTTAGCATAAAGAATTTTTGAACATTTAAATTGTATGTGTAGCATTTATTGTGATCATAAACTGTGCATTATTTACAACTATTTTTTAAATGTTAAATAAATGTAATATAATATTAACAACCATAATTGTAAGTATTATAATTTATTTCAGCTCACTGAGTCAGTTCTCATAAATTGACAATATGCTGAGAGGTTTTTATGTCTAGAAAATAATATCTAGTGAAAAAAAAAAATATATATATACAGTGGGTACGGAAAGTATTCACTCAATTTTCCGACTGATGTCCTTGCTAGAGGCAGCATGAGGGGTTAACTGCTCTAAAATTTTGTTGATGTGTTTCAAAGCAGTTGTACATGACCTGAAATGCATTACAAACCAACTACATTATATTTAGCTTTTAACTTCATCCTTTGACAGACATACATAATGTACACTGTTTCAAGATCAACAAAGAAAGCATAAATTCACCTGACGTCATCCAGTACGTATTCATATTCTTTCTCAGCCTCAGCTTTAGCCGCAGCCTGGTTGGCCTCCTGAATGGCCTTATCCACCTGCTGCAACACACCTTGCTCGAGAACATCTTGGTCGTACACATCCACTCCCAATCCCTGCAGTTCAGCAGCCTGAGAGTTGAAGTCTACTGACCGGATCTCCTGACGGTTGATCAGGAGCAGGGCCTGTGATTTCCTAGGATTCTGTGAACCAACATTCTCCGGACATGTAGCCGCTGGCTCTTCCTTACTGCTTCCCGGGATGGAAAGGCCATTGTCTTGTTGGACTCCAGGAGTAAGGGCACTGACCGGGCTGGACAGAGGAGCCAGGGCCTGGTCCTTGTTACCTTCTACTGGCATTGCCAAGTAGCTGTGAATAGGGATGATCTAAGACTGTAATCGTGGACATGTTTGGTTACTTAGACACCAAAGTAAAAGTACTTTAATAACAGGGAAACCCTTGAATTATAATGGCTTATATAACAAATTACATTTTAAAATGTATTTTCTGTTGTACATATCTCTGTAAAATGGTTAAAGCATCTGTACTGAACAATTACAGTAACTGTCAACCCTGTTGAAAAAAAACAGCATATGCTGGTTAGGTATGTTTTGACGCTGGGATGCTGGTTTAAACTGGTCCTTTGCTGGTCTAAGCTGGTCCTTTGCTGGTCCGTTGCTGGTTTAAGCTGGTCCATGCTGGTCTTTTGCCAGCACATGACCAGCATAAACCAGCAAAGAACCAGCATAAACCAGCAAAGGACCAGCTTAAACCAGCAAAGGACCAGTTTAAACCAGCAAAGGACCAGCATAAACCAGCATCAAAACATACCTAACCAGCATATGCTGTTTTTTTTTCAACAGGAAGAACATAACGACATACACAATAACTGAACACTACAACAGCCACGAATGTCAAACACACAATAACAACGTGATGAATGGATTAATTTGAAGACAAATGTGGTTATATTGATATTTGATTATTCCCTTTCAAATTGAAAACGACTTAAATAGTGACTTGTCTAATAGTATAGGCTTGTGTGCTAAATGCTAACTGCTAGCAGTTGTTAGCCTTCAACTCATCTCACGACTTTTAAAAAGCACAATAAAAAACAAACCTTCACAACGACCCGACTCTTTTAAATGATTTATTCGTTTAACGTAAAATCCATTAAGATCTCGTTTTAGTTTTGCTGTGTACTACTATATAGCTAGCATGTGAGCTTGTTATACACAATCAATGCATATTAAACTGTGAAGGGAGAAAGTTCAAGGCACCGTATAAATGTCACAGGCTGAGAAAACGTGTCAAAATAAAAGTCAGTAGCGGACGTACAGTGAAAGTAAGAGTTTTTTTTTATGTTGTGCAGAAATTAATAATGGCAACCATTATTATCAGTTTATTGACCTTTTTTATATGTTTAAAACATTATGTAGTAGGCAAACATGCCAACGTTGCCACTTAATGGACACTTTACAAGATCATACAGCGCCCTCTTGAGATCAGAATGTTTTCAATCCACTGATCTGGATAATATAGGTCAGTGTCACAATCCCTTCCATGAATCCATGGTAACCCTCTTCATAAAATGTTTATTTTACAATTAAAGCTTTCAACATTATTAAGGGATTAAAAAAAAACAAAGAAATAACAATTTCTCTCTTGTTTAGTGTGTTGATTCGGCTGAGGCTTGCTTTTGTATTAGAATTACTGTAATACTGGTGAATGAACTGTAGATGGCGGAAGCGAACTGCTTAATATTATTGACTCCCAGACTTCGATTACTGCCTCGTATCTGTTAGAGCTGCTAAAGCAAGAAACATCTGCAATGTGCCGTTTAAAGGCGAAGGAAAAACATGGACGTGTGAAAACAACCAATCCCCGCAAGTAGGCCAATAATAGTTTTATATTGCGTTTTCCAATCCTGTTTATTTTCTTTCCTCAATGGCGCTGTTAAATAGTATGAATGACAGTGTTTGTGACACATCAAAGCAAGCGATCAGGAAAACGACCATTCCATAATATCCTGTGCTTGGTGTGCACAACTTTGATACTTGGTTACTTATTTTCCTGTTGATATCATGCCAGCCAAATTCAATTGTTCTTGGTCCTTGAGTTTGCCACCAGAGGTCTTCTTCCATATGACAGGTTTTCCACTCCCGTATGTTTGTTTTCTTCCAAAAGCCTAAAAGAAATGATATTATATTTATGGCATTGTGTCAACATGGGATTACTGAGGTACTAACTGATATATCCAGTGTTTGATTAATCTCCTCTTCTGAATGTTTTTTTTTCTTTTTCTGAATGCTCTTTTGTAGCCTACTTGTCTTATAGCAGGGCTGTCCAAACTCGGTCCTGGAGGGCCGGTGTCCTGCAGAGTTTA